CTATATCTATAATCCTAAAAAAACAGAGATAATCAGCATAATTTTTAATCTCCCCTATATCTTAAGTTGCAGGCCCTGTTCATGATGGTTGTTGTTAATAGCCTAAATTTGCAAAGCATGGTCGATTAGGCGGATGGGGTGTTCCACTATGTAACACATTGAGCCGGGTCATACAGGGGTAGGAGGTGTTCCCTCTTATATTTCACTAATTAGGTCCGAAAAGGAAGTTGGGGCCCCCCCCCCTTTCACACACAGAAAAGGGCCCATGGGGGGCGGTTGAGGCGGTGCTCTTTTTCCCCCACTGACCAGGGTGAGTCAGGGGGTTGGGGCGCTGACATTGTCACATTTAAACCAGGGCGGATGGGGAGGTTTGGGCTCTACCTGGTCACACCCAGACCAGGGCCGGGGGTGAGGGGGGGGGGGGGTTGGGGCGCTGCACCCTGTCACACAAAGAGCCGCAGGGTGATCAGGGGGTTGGGGAGCTCCCCCCTATCAGTCACAGAGCAGGGCCGATCAGAGGGTTGGTGCTCCTTCCCCTGTCACGAACAGAGCAGGGTGGATAGGGAGGTTGTGGCCCTGCCCCCTGTCACACACAGAGCCACAGGGTGATCAGGGGGTTTGGGCGCTGCCCCCTGTCACACTGATCCCGGTGCCAGGAGGCCTCTCGGCTCCGCTGATCCTGGTGCTGGGAGGCATATTACCCTTTTACTATATAGAATAGAGGCCTGGTGCACAGGTGGGGGCCGGCTGGTTTGCCCTGAAGGGTGTCCTGGATCAGGGTGGGGGTCCCCACTGGGGTGCCTGGCCAGCCTGGATGAGGGGATGATGGCTGTTTGCAGCTGGTCACACACCCTTCAGGGAGGGGGTCCCCACTGGGGTGCCTGGTCAGTCTGGGTGAGGGGCTGAGGGCTGCTTTCAGGCTGGCGGTTGTTGACTGAAGCTCCCAACCGCTCCTTTTTTTCTTTTTTATTCTGGGCCAGCTTTAGCTCTGGCTCTAGCTCTGAGGCTTCCGCTGCTGATTGCGTTCTATAATCGAAACAATGTATAACTCCAGCTCTGAGATCCCGGCTGGCTGAAAGCTGGTTTCTGGGGTTTTGTTTAGCTTCTATATTTGTTACAAAGTTTCTTAGAGTTGCAGCTCAGAGGCCGGCAAGTCAGGCGGGGAACGTTGGAGTCTGCAGTCACTGGAGCAAGCAAGCCTCATGTTTGCTTCCAGCTGCCTGGCTGCTGGCCGCCATCTTGGCTGACAGTTAATTTGCATAAGGATATGCTGATTAGCCAATGGGAAGGGTAGCGGTCGTAAGCTAATTACCATGTTTCTTTTTTATTAGTGTAGATATTATTTGCAAATATCTTCTATTCAGTAGGTTGCATTTCATTTTGTTGATCGTTTCCTTTACTGTGCAAAAGATTTTTAATTTGATGTAGTTCCATTTGTTTATTTTTGCTATTGTTGCTTTTGCCTGAGGAAACATATTCAAAAAAATATATGGCTAAGACTGATATCAAAGAGTTTACTGCTCATATTTTTTCCTAGAAGTTTTAAGGTTTCAGTTGCTACATATAAGTCTTGAATCAATTTTGAATTTATTTTTGTATATGTTGTAAAAATCTCTTCTATTTTTTTGCATGTATCTGTTCAGTTTTCTTAATACCACTTACTGAAGAGACTTTTCTTTCAATTCTTTAAAATTGTTCAGCATTTGGCTTATCTATTTAGTAAGTTAATTTTTCATCAACACTATACAGCAATGTATTCTATATATGTCAAACTCGATTTTACCAGAGAAAATTCTATCAATATCTTTAATGCAAAATACAAGCATGGTCCCTTTCTTGAAAAGGAAAAAATGTATATTTACATAGTTCAGACATACTTAGAGTTATTAACTGTAGAATTATGGATTCTCATAGCCCTGATGACAGTTTGAAATAGAAAAGAAAACTGAAACTCTTTTTCACTAACATTATGCAATTTCTGAGAAATCAGGCCAAATACATCCAGTAGGCAACACCTGGGACATGAACTGCCCAGTCAGTGAGCTTGCCTCCTGGTCTTTCAGTTTCCTTTAGTGAGGTTGGGAAACCAACTTCTAATCCTCTGCTCTCTCTGTGTGTCAGGGGGAGGGGACTATAAAGAAAACTAAAATCCCCAGGATTTGTTCAGGAAGAAGTTTACCAGAAACCAGCACAGCTAAACTGAGAGAGTTAGGACTCACAACAATCTCGTGAAGCAGCTTTGTTACCAGCTCTAAAAGATACCTGCTGTTGATTTTATAGTCAAGGTAAGATTGGAGCCAGGGTGGTAAAAGGGAGGTTTTAAAAACATTTTATCAAGGACAGGTGTGGGATATCAGACTTAATTAAAAACGAAACTGAGGTGCCGTCAGACAGGAAGCAGCATTCATTAAGTGCCAGCTACATTTGCTTACTGCTGAGCTACACAGAAGCATGTGTAGAGACTAACCGGAGTTTGAAATGTCTTAACACTGTTTTTCTTCCTTTGCCAATTTATGACCTATGGGGATCATAATTGCCACTTCAGTTATCTTAATCTTTGATAAACCCTGATTAAGTCAGTTCAAACGTCATGCTGAAAATTTCAACAGCTATAACTATTATTTTTGTGAGAAAGAGCAATGAACGATATGCAATGTAAATAGCTGGTTCACATCGTTAAGGCCAAAAAAAGTTAAAAGCTAAAATGAATAATAAAGAGCTTTCATGAAAACAACTATATATTTTTAGTCATAGTCTTGGACATTGTTTGAAGGTGGATTTCTTCCTTTAGAAATAGCATGAATCAATTAGTTTTGATTTCTTGGCACCCACTCTTTCCTTAAGGCCCTTTATGTTGGATTGTTTCTACTAGTCTAATGCCTCTGTTATTACTATCACTTGCTTCAACAGTTGGCCCAACTTGACCCTCATTACAGCCTGGTAATTTTGTTTACTCCTCAGAACTCTCTCCTCCTTTGAATTTCTTATCACAAGCTCCATGCATCTCCTTCTTGTTCAGTTCCCATTTGTCTCCTTGATAAGAGCCTCTTTCTCTTCCTCCAAATTCAAACCAAGGAACAACACAAATCAAAGCAAAAGCAAACAACAATTTTAAAAATAACACAACTAGAATTTTATGGCTGAAGATAGCAATATTTTCTTCTAGAAACCCCATCACTAGCACTTCTGAGCCTTCAAAAAAGATTTCTTGGCATTTTCCTTCTTTACAGATTTCTTTGTATGTTCCTACAGATCTGGCTCTGTATCTCTCTCTCTCTCTCTCTCTCTCTCTCTCTCTCTCTCTCTCTTAAGCTAGCAGTACTGTTGTATCTCAAATCAGTTAGCTGGACAAGATGCTTAATGAGCCAATTAGGAGTCATCTTTATTGTGCGCAGGTTCAGAGCAGATTACCTCTGTCAAATTCTGAACACCACATACAGGAAGTCTCACGTATTTATACTCTTCGAGCCTCTTTGTTTGCAGATATTACAAAGGGCCCTGTGTGAGTTACTGTTACAGACAGTTGTAACATTGAATACATTATGAGTTTGTACTTGGCATAAGAATATGGGAATTATCTATTACATTGGATGGCTAGTTTGCAAGGTCAGACAGTTAAGTTTATCTTTTTTTATTATTTGAACTAAAAACAAAGTCATTTTATAGAATAACAGACTGTCTTAAAGTGACAGAGTTTATAATGACAGAGTTTGCAGGACTTGGGACTATCTAACAATAGCAGAGAGTTTCAAACAGTAGTTTCATACAGGATGGCAGTTTCTATGCTTCAGTACTCCTGATATAAATAGACATTAATTAACTTATTCCATTATTTTGAAAAAAGTCTTAGAGTGTTGAGTGAAATGCGACATCATTCATCCAGTTGCAAAGCTAGGATTGGAAATCAGGTGTGACTTACTTTAAAGCCAAAGTAAGTGTGTGTGTGTGTGTGTGTGTGTGTGTGTTTGTGTGTGTGTGCATGTGTGTGTGAAATGCATTCTTACATTGTTTTCATTGATGAAAGTTAATAGGCCTCTAACAGTGTTAGGGAGAATGCATCACAGGCTAAGTTATAAAAGGCAGAGCAATAGGTAAGTATAGGACTTGAACACATTTAATTTGTAAAAATTTTGGAGACTGGGCTTTCCTAAAAGTGTTAAAAATGTTAACCAGATAATAATTGGGAACAATCTATAAAACACTTTTATTAATGTAGATATACAGATCTAATGTTATTCATTGAGAGGTCTGAGAATTCAGACAAATTAGTTCTCTCCCATTAGTGACCACATCCTGAAATGCAGTATCTTGTCAGCCCCCATTATCTGCAAATAGATTTAGATTGTGTACCTTCTGCTTTCCTAGCTAATTGTTTTAGATCATCACTGCCAGTCCCCCTATTTTTCTAATCTAAAAATATTATGACCCCTGCTATATACAAATCACACAAACAGAACTCCACAAGATAATTTTCTAATATTGCATGGGAAGTGAACTAGAAAGAAATGAAACTTGGCATTTGAATCTGTAAAATCACATGGAACCTGCTCTTTCTGGACCTGGCTTGAACTAGGCATTTTCTGATTCCCTGGTGCTATGCCATTTGCAATTATCTGCTCCCAAGCAGTTCTGTTTTTATCTATCCATACCTGGATGATCTCCAGGACACTGACTATAAGGAAGTGGGGAGGAGGTATATTTATAATTTTTCAAAAGCAGTTTTCATAGTCAACTAATAAGGAAATCCAGATGTGCTCATTATAAGATTTTAGTGAAAGAAAAAGTCAAGCAGATGGTGGGTTTTAGCTTCTGTAGTAAATAATCTAATTTAATAAAAGAGAAACATGCAAACTGACCACACCTCCTCTATGACCAAGCCACGCCCACCAGCCAATCAGAGAGACTATATGCAAATTAACTCAACCAAGATGGTGGCCGGCAGCCACGGAGCTGGAGCAAGCAGGAGGCTTAGTTGCCCCGGCGATGGAGGAAGCCAAGCTTCCTGCCTGCCCTGGCTGGCTGTGGCCTCCGCTCAAGGCAACAAAGTTTCAATTATAGAAGATAAATAAATCCCAGATACCTGCTTCCAGCCAGCCTCCACTGGGAGCTTGAGTTGCGTGGGGCCATGGCCAGCCTACAAACAGCCATCAGCCCCTCACCCAGGATGGCCACACCCTCATGGGGTGAGGGTCCCCACTGGGGGGGTGGCCAGCCTGCAAACAGCCATCAGCCCCTCACCCAGGCTGGCCAGGCACCCCAGTGGGGACCCCCACTCTGAAGGAGTTGTAGCCAACCTGCAAACAGCCATCAGCCCCTCACCCAGGCTGGCCAAAATCTCATGGGGTGAGGGTTCCCGCTGGGGGGCTTGGCCAGCCTGAAAACGGCTCTCAGCCCCTCAACCAGACTGGCCAGGCACCCCAGCGGGAATACCACCCTGATCCGGGACACACTTCAGGGCAAACCAGTTGGCCCCTACCCATGCACCAGGCCTCTATCCTATATAATAAAATAGTAATATGCAAATTGACCCTAACAGCAGAATGACTGGGAATGACTGGTCACTATGACACACACTGACCACCAGGGGACAGACGCTCAATGCAGGAGTTGCCCCCTGGTGGTCAGTGCACTCCCACAGGGTGAACTCTGCTCAGCCACAAGCCAGCCTGACAGCTGCCAGTACAGCAGTGGTGGTGGGAGCCTATCCCACCTCCTCAGCAGCGCTAAGGATGTCCAACTGCAGCTTAGGCCTGCTCCCCACTGGCAAGTGGACATCTGCCGAGAGCTCCCGGGCTGCCAGAGGGATGTCTGCCTGCCAGCTTAGGCCCAATCCCCCGGGGAGCAGGCCTAAGCCAGCAGGTGGATATCCCCCAAGGGTCCCAGACTGGGAGAGGGCACAGGCTGGGCTGAGGGACACCCCCGAGTGCACAAATTTTTGTGCACCAGGCCTCTAGTCTATACTTATAATAGGATAATATGCAAAGTGGTCAGGATGCCAACACGTAACAACTGATAAGCAGGCTGTGTCCCCACCCCTGTGCCAGCCCAGAGACATGAGACTAGTATCTCCAACCCCAGCAATGGGCCCCGGGCTGTGAGGCTCGTATCCCTGCCCCTGCACTGGCCCGAGCACATGAGCTCACATCCCCAACCCCACCATAAGGCCCTGGGATGTGAGGCTCGTGTCCCCGACCCTGGCAATGAGCTCAGGGATGTGAGTTTCGCATCTCTGCCTCTCTGCACAGGCCCGGGAACATGAGGCTTGCGTTCCTACCCTCTCCAATTAATTCCCTTTTAATGTGCACAAATTTCATGCACTGGACCACTAGTCACTTATAAAATGAAAGAAAATTGTTCTTTATGATAAGGCATAGCAGAAGAGAAAGCATTTGCTTAAATCTCAGCTAGCTTAAACATGTTTTATCAGGTTGTAGGAATTGATGCCCCCAAATAAATGATTAAGTATTATTTTTAAAAGTCTTCTCAGCCCTAGCTGGTTTGGCTCAATGGATATGTCCCAGGTTTGATTCTAGTCAAGGGCACATGCCCGGGTTGCAGGCTCGATCCCCAGTAATGGGCATGTAGGAGGCAGCCGATCAATGATTCTCTCTCATCATTGATGTTTCTATCTCTCTCTCCCTCTCCCTTCCTCTCTGAAATCAATAAAAATATATTTAAAAGATAAGTTTTTTCATTTGAGCATTGACCTATGAACCAGGAGGGCATGGTTTGATTCCCGGTCAGAGTACATGCCTGAATTTTGGGCTCAATACCCAGAGGGTGTGCAGGAGGAAGCCAATCAATGATTCTCTCTCATCATTGATGTTTTGCTCTCTTTCTCTCTCTCCCTTCCTCTCTGAAATAAATAGAAATATATTTTTTAAAAAGTATTTTCACTCATTTTCTCATTCATAAAATGATCATACCTTAAATGTTTTGATTGAAAAAGGCACACCAATAGCTATATAAAAATTATTTTAAACAACTATGATTTGTTCAAGAATGCTACATAATGACCTGCCAGGATTTATAATACACTTTGTCCGGACATACCTCTACATTACAGAATAGCAAGTTTAGATGGGGTAAAGGCAAGAAGTATAATATAATAAATAGTGCTCATAAAGATTCCATATGGGGATTCAGGGAGGTAAAAACTAAGAAACGTAAGCAAGCCAAAAACCAGTGGAGGAGAGTCAGATTCAAACTAGCAATAGATGAGATTCAGGGAATGGTTTTCCATGAGCCCATAAATATTTAAGAAGCAGTAGAGTACCCTATACTAGACCTCTGGTGGACTTAGGACTTATTTTCCTATGACCTGCTTTGCTGTCATTAAAAATAATAATAATAATCCTATATAATAAAAGGGTAATATGCAAATTGACCCTAACAGCAGAACCACTGGGAATGACTGGTCACTATGACACACACTGACCACCAGGGGGCAGACGCTCAATGCAGGAGCTGCCCTCTGGTGGTCAGTGCGCTCCCACAGAGGGAGCTCTGCTCAGCCACAAGCCAGGCTGATGGCTGCCAGGACAGCGGTGGTGGTGGGAGCCTCTCCCGCCTCCTCAGCAGTGCTAAGGATGTCCGACTGCAGCTTAGGCCTGCTCCCCACTGGCAAGTGGACATCTACCGAGAGCTCCCGGGCTGCCAGATGGATGTCTGACTGCCAGCTTATACCTGCTTCCCCAGGGAGTGGGCCTAAGCCAGCAGTTGACAGCTCCTGAGGGGTCCCAGACTGGGAGAGGGCACAGGCTGGGCTGAGGGACCCCCCTGAGTGCACAAATTTTTGTGCACCAGGCCTCTAGTAATAATAATAATAATCTACACTAATAAAAGAGAAAGATGCAAATTGACTGTACCTTCACGACACCCACCAGCCAATCTGGAGTGAGTATGCAAATTAACCCAACAAAGATGGCAGGTTAATTTGCATTCAGAGGCACCAAGTGGCCACGGGCAGGGTGGGGTGGGACACAGGCGTTCCGCACCACCCAGCAACTCCGGGCCTCTGGGCAGCATGCGAAGGTGGAAAGTTGGCTCCGGGCCAGAGAGAAGGCAGTGCCAGCAGCCAGGGGAAGGAAGGCCCATTCTTACACAAATTTTTGTGCATCGGGCCTCTAGTAATAATAATAATTTCTTTAGAAACTTAGGCCATGCTGGGGAGTAAAATGTCCCCAGGTTCAGGAAGCAAAATGACTTTCTCTGCTTAGAGACTGGAAGTTCTAATCCATCCCATCTATTCCCTTGCAGACAAGGTCACACCCTGGACATGGCCTCAGAGATCCACATGCCAGAACCAGTCTGCCTCATTGAAAACATCGAAGGGAAACTGGTAGTTAATCAGAAAGCTTTGGAGATCCTCTCTGCCTTCACCCAGCCCCTTGTCGTGGTGGCTATTGTGGGCCTCTACCGCACTGGCAAATCCTACCTGATGAACAAACTGGCTGGGAAAAATGAGGGTGAGTGACACCAGCTAAGCTCTGCCGAGTCGTCCTTTTCACCCACACTCCCAGCATGAGTACAGATATATGAGGAGAGAAAGTTAGAGATGGGCAGGAATATTGAAAGGTAATTTTTGGGCCATAGCTGGCTAATTATCTTCTTGGAGGTAAAGGACAGAGGTCTGTTTCTGAAATATCACCTCTTTTTCTTTTTACTTAATAGCTCCTTGGAAAAAGAAAAATGTTTTCTAATCATAAAGAGGAAGACATCAATAAAACAACATATATAAAATTATAAACTATTAAAATTTTAGTAGCATAATATACTTGTTTTAAAAAATCATCAAGTTTTCAACCTGTGGTACCTGATACTCTTATTTTCCCATCTCTCTATTGCAGTTCAGATCAATAATGGTTATTCTTTGCTCCATCTCCACATCTTGCTCTCCTTAAGCCCTAGCTCATTTGTCAAGAACATCTCTAATTTCCAGATCCCTCATCTATTACAACCTCTCCACTCCCCCTGCAGGCTTCTCTGTTGGATCCACAGTGCAGTCTCACACCAAGGGAATCTGGATGTGGTGTGTGCCTCATCCAGAGGAGCCAAACCACACCCTGGTTCTGCTGGACACCGAGGGACTGGGAGATGTAGAGAAGGTGAGGAACAAGGATTCCTTTTTGATCAGCCTCCTCATCTCTGAACATTCTTTACAGAGGTTTTTTTGTTACTTCCACTTGAACAGAGTATATCTTTATTTCCTTTTCTATATTTAATAGTCAAAGTTTGGAAACCTGAAGTGAGAAAAATATTTCTAAGCCAAAGTCATGGAATCTAAAGAACAAAATAAATTGATAAACTAAATAGATCCAGAGGGATGGGTGTATGGAACAGACTGACAGATCTCAGAGAGGAGGGGAGTAGGGGTAGGAGAGGGATAGAAAGAGATTAACCAAAGAACTTATATGCATACTAGTGGCCCAGTGCACAGATTCGTGAACATTGAAAGGAAATTAATTAGAAGAAATATTTTAATATCGCTATTCGCCCTTTCTCTGTAATAGAAGTGACAACCAAATTCACAATCAATCGAAACACATACATGCAATTGGCACCAGTGAGAGCTTTATATGTATCACACATGTGCAAGTCAATTTAGCCTTTTATAGATATAGAATAAACTTGCTTAATTAGACCTGCTTTCTGATTTAGTTAAACTTTTTCCAGCCCAGTGAAGCACCCCAACTTCTCTTTCAGGTAATTGTCAGCAACACAGCAGTAAATATCATCACAAAGCAGATTATTATTATAGATCACACAGGGAGAAGAAAGAGTAAAATATTTAACTGCAGCAGTGTCTGACTATATTATGCGCAGTGAGAAAACCTGAAGTCATTTTCAAGGCCCACCATTTCTTACTTCTTTTCAGTCAGGTCAAGTTTCTAAATCTCTGTTTTCTGGCTAATGAAAAGAAAATAGGATTCTACCAAGTCTCCTATCTACCTACTCTAGGACTTCTGTGAGGATCAAATGAGATGAGGCACGGGAAAATGCTTCACAGACATTTGGTTAAAGTGTAAAATGTTTCCACATGGCTATAAAGCAAGTCACGTTCCTGGGCTGAAGAAACTTCAAGGAGTCTAGTCACTAGGGAGAGGAAGCTGGGCATTGCTATGTGACATCATTACCCAACAGCCACAGTGACTGTTTTCAGGATGGGCTGGGCTGTGGGCCACATTTCACGCCATAGGGTCTGCATGGATATGATTTGGTGGGCTGTTGCTCCGGGGTGGTGGCGGGGCCTGTGTCCCACTTGGGGGATCCTGAGTGTTGCTTTGTGGGTGCCAGATCTGCAGAGCCATTTATTTTTAAATGGCCAATGTGCATCATGGCAGCTCCTGTGTTGAGCGTCTGCCCCATGGTGGTCAGTACATGTCATAGCGACCAGTTGGATGGTCAGACACTTAGCATAACAGCTTTTTATACAGAGAGATAAGCATAGTCCAAGGACACAGACAATAGTGTGGTTAAGGCCTGGTGTGGGGCAGAGTCTGGGTGGAGGGGGAAAGTGGGGTAAAAATAAGGGACATATGTAATATTGCCAACAATAAAAAATAAACTTTAAGAAAAAAGCATCTAATGAGCTGGGATCCAGAGAGACAAGTCATCCCAAACCTGAGGAAAATGCCATACAGTACATAAAATTCATGTACACTGAAATTTTATTTTATAGAGTTTAATGCATGTTTTATAATTGATTAATATTTATAAACAAACAAACTCCAGTTTAATCAAAATAAACTTTCATTTTTATGGTAAGTGATCTTTTCCTAAAAATTAACTTATATAACTTGTTTGGAAAAAACTATACTATATTGGCCATTTTGTAAATATGATAAGATAATTAATACTTCATGTATAAACCTCCAGATTTCAGTGGCTTTTTTTGACAATTAAATGCCTTTATTGCAAAGCTGCATATATTTTTAAATTAAAATAGAGCAGTTAAGAAGATAATAAAATATTAATGTTGACTTAGATTACCATATATAATGATGACAAAAGTCTGAGAAATGTAGGTTGATGAAGACAATTTGAGTCAAAGATACAACTCTTTACTACATTTCTTTCACTGCTGCTAAGAGAGAATCGAAACATTCTGTGACTATAGAGAAGTCCGCATTTCTTGGTGAGTGCAGTAAGTCTTGTGTTCTTTACATGTGGAGGAATTGTCCTGCAGGAGCTGACCACTGTGTACAGCTTGTGGAGTGTAGAGAGCACCTGAGAAGGCACATGGGCATTTCTTTAGTTATTGTCAGCTGAATCCAGTGGCATTGGCAAAGCCACATCCTGGAAACGCACTTTACCAAAAGGCAGGAGTGTTGTCAGCTTGACCTTCAGCCCAGGTGCCAGGGGGTAGGTTTTGTTATTTAAATCCAGCCAAGCACCAGGAATGAATACGACTCGGGCCCACCCAAGAATGCACATAATCTCCTATGTCTTGACTTTTAGTGAAACTTCCTGTTTTTTGCTGTATAAAATAAACACGCTCTGGGTCCTTGTCCCTGTCTCTCCATCAGAGGACAGCATTCCCACCCAGCCCCACCTTTTTCTTTCCATCTCTGTGACTGTCTCTTTCTTTCATTTTCTCAATCCTGAGCCACCCCTACTCAGGAACCTGACCGCTCTCTAGCCGCGCTGGACATGGAGGAGAGAGAAATAGTCACAGTAGAGGAGGAGGAGTCCAGCCTAGGGATGCATCCACTGGTCTCAGGGATCCTCAGGTGGAGGTGGAGGCAGGCAGCACAGCAGGCAGCTGGAGAGGCCCAAGTGGAGAGGAGGGAACAGTGCTGCTTTAGGACCCAGGTCCACCTCTGAGGAGGGGACCATCAGGGCGTGGCTCCTGGCGTCCTGGCAGGTTTGGAACAGCAGCTTGTGAAGTGAAGATTTTCACGGCCTCTTCCAGGTACCTGCGGGTCTTTAGCATCTCCACCATCTCCTCCTCTTGTCTGGAGCATTTGGATCTCTCTCCCTTCAGTTCATGAACCAGGAATGTAATTTCCTGCTTCAGCGCCCCGTAGGTCATGGTCACCTTTCTGCAAGTGTGGGCAAGGCTGGGTATATTAAATGACTCTTTCTCACGCCTGGCATTGTCTAAGGATGACTCTATTCCCCTGCACTACTCTTTAGCCGCGCTCAACTTAATGAGTTGGCATTTCTCCTCCATCTGTTTGGCCAGTGGCTTTGCCAGGTGCACTTCACGTCTTAGGTGGACTCTGAACAGATGGAACAAATCTGACTATAATTACGAGATCCACCAAGAAGCCTTTGACAGATGGACACACAAATATCTCCCATTGGAGGATGTGGACAGGGAGGCGTGGACTCTGGCCAGCAGCCCCACAGCCTCTTCGCCTAAGAATGGGCCCTGAGCCCATCTCTATAAAGGACCATAGCACCTCCATAGACCATCAATACAGGACAGCTGGGTCACCATGGAACCTCCAGCCACAACAGAATCCATGACACCCCAACATTCCACCTAAAACCAGCCAGCAAGGGCGACCCTAATTGGTCATCAGTGATATGGTTGCGATAGGGGAAGATTTGCAAAAACATATGCCAAATGTCCAATGACATTCAGTAGTCATCACCATGTATGTTTTTGTGTCAATATAAATTAAAATATAATGAAAATAGCAACAAAAATCATCAGTGCTAATGACAGAACTATTCTATTCAAAGTGATGTGTTTTTCACAATCACTTTTGTTTGTTCATATAACATTGTAGATCAGGGGCTTATTTTTACTGATTGCTCATCTGGGAATGCCATGAGACATGATTTAAATTTGTTTTGACTTCTAGGGTGACCAGAACAATGATACTCAGATCTTTGCACTGGCAATACTATTGAGTAGTACTTTTGTTTACAACACCATGAACAAAATTGACCAGAGGGCTATCGATCTATTGCAGTATCCTTTTATGATCCAGGATGGCACCAAAGCCAGAGAAAACTCTTCTATCCACCAGCTGTGTTTATGAACCTTTTGAATCAAACACAAAAATAAAAACGTGATAAACATTAAAAGTACAAGAAAAACAGCCCTTATACTTACTTAGGTTATGAAGAATTGGTTACAGCCAAAAGAGAACATAATGGTATAAGGATGTAAGGAATGCAATATGGGCTTAGATGCAGTACTATTTCCAACCAGTTTTCCTTAATTATATCTCAGTTATGTAATAGAACTGTCAAATCAGCTCAGGACAGTTTCTCCACTTGATCTTGATGGGGTTGAAGATGCAGCGGATGCTGTGAGCTTCTGTCCAGACTTAGTGTGGACTCTGAGAGATTTCTACCTTTCCCTGGAAGCAGATGGGAGACACATCACAGCAGATGACTACCTGGAGAACTCGTTGAAGCTGAAAGAAGGTAACAGGGACTTTAATTTTGGAAAGAGAGAGAGAAGTAATATAAGAATATCTCTATGTGTAAGTGGTTACATTTATAGTTTCCTATATTTAATCACTTGGTTAAACTGCCAAGTAAATAATGAACACTACTAATTTAAAGTGAACTATTAGATTCAATATGAGATTGAATTACTGAATGTTCTTGGAGCAAATTACTTTTCTTTCTTCCTTTCTCTGATGGGTTACCTTTTAACTTTTTGCTTAGAGTTTGTAGAGATGTGTTGAAATAGATAACATCAGGTTAAAGGCAAATTTATTCATGGGAAATACATTAAAGTAAATGCTAGTTCTATACTAAATAAAGCCCATTTTTTTCTTCCCCAGACACTGATGAAAATCATAAAAATTTCAATTTGCCCCGTCATTGCATACAGACATTCTTTGCAAGAAAGAAATGCTTTGTCTTTGACTCGCCCACTCACCGGAAGAAGCTTGCCCATCTTCCGACACTGCACAATGATGAACTGGATCCTGACTTTGTGCAACAAGTGGCAGATTTCTGTTCCTACATCTTTCACCATTCCAAGGCAAAAACTCTTTCAGGAGGCATCAAGGTTAATGGACCTCGTGAGTACCTTCCTTGGGATTTTCCTTCAACTCAACATAAAGAATGGGGCTTTTAAAAGTTTCTCCTTTCATTGTCAATGTTGAAAATCCTTCATCAGTTATGACCAAGAAAATTATATACATCACATTTTTAAGTTCCAGTGGATACCCAAAACATTCCTACTGATTTTTTAAGTAATGCCTCTAATCTAGGATAAAATAGCAATATCATCTGAAGAAAAGATCAAGTTAAAGAGTTCTATTCATAAGTGGTCCATTGGACTAACCACATGAGTTGGCAACATTTATTCCGTGAATATAATGGATACTTATTATGTGTCACAGCCTTAGATAAGCACAAGATAACATGTAGGTTCTCTGTTAAAATGGAACGTACTTGATATAAACATTAAATAAACAGAGGCTCAAGTTGTCTAGAGCTTTAAAGGAAATCTAAGAAAGCATCTTGGACCAGATTTTTTTCTCTAAAGACACTATGCCTCAGAACTCTATGAATGATTGCTATACTCTTGAGCAATGACTTTCAACCAGTGTGCCTCAATGATTCTTAAAACATGCAATACCCGACTATTTAGTCAGGGGCATTGACTTCTTTTCCTTTAGAATGTCAAATAAAAATATGATAACAGTCAACACAATAGCCGACTGATATGAATGAATCTAAATTATACCTATTTTTTTTTGTCAGATCAGGAAAAAAAACACCCACATATTTTGGTGTGCAGCAGAATTTTAGTAATAGTTTATGTCTGCCATGAGATGAAAAAGGTTGAAAATTGATGTTCTCGAAGAATAGTGAATGCAAACAAAAGTATGCAAGGGACAAGGAAGAGAAATAGGAAAGTTCTAACAAAGAGTAAAGGCGAGCCAGTCTAATTTGCTCACTTTGTGTTTTTTCAGCTAATACTCATACCAGCTTTACATACTGAAGTGGAAGAGAAAGGGAATTCTGAAGGAAAATTAAACCTGAGGTAGCGAGAAAGGAAAGAATAAAGAGGCCAGAAAGGCCTATAGCAATCTAATAAAATGAATAGGCATAACTTTAAACATTTCCTCATTTCTCAATAGAAAAAGGATGGCATGAGGATGATTACATAGAGCTTGATATTTCTCCTTTAAACACTTTCTTTTTCCAAAGAAAGATCTGGCTTTTTAGTCACACAATTTTCAAAAACAAAACAAACAAACAAAAAGCACATATTTGAGCCACTTGAACACTATGCAGAATACTGAAAAAGCTCAGGCAATGCATTGTTAAATTAACATTCTCAGAACTATCCAATTTTTGAGCATGTCCTTTTTTTCTACAAATAATGCAAGCATCTCTTTCCCCTGTGAAGGTCTAGAAAATCTGGTGCTGACCTATGTCAATGCCATCAGCAGTGGGAACCTGCCCAGCGTGGAGAATACAGTCTTGGCCTTGGCCCAAATCAAGAATTCAGCTGCAGTACAAAAAGCCATTGCCCACTATGACCAACAGATGGGCCAAAAGGTGCAGCTGCCCACGGAAAACCTCCAAGAGCTGCTGGACCTGCACAGGACCAGTGAGAAGGAAGCCATCGAAATCTTCATCAATAATTCCTTCAAGGATGTGGACCAAAGGTTCCAGAAGGAATTAGAGGTAATTAATATTCTTTGCTCTGCTCCTGGGGCTTACATGTAATACAAGTATTTCTATGAAATGCAAAATGGGGACTTAAGAAAAGCAATTTTTACTAGACTGGAAAATAATGACTCTTATATGATCAAGATATCACTTTTATTCTGAAAACAAACGAACAAGCAACATGTAACTACTCTGGGTTGTATGGATTTTAATACTTTCACACACTCACAACTCACCATGTTACAACCATGGACTAATTTTTTTAAATTAATCTTATTCTTTAAAAATTACATCCATACAGTATTAATTAACTTTCCTTTTATATCAATCAAGTACACAGAATTGCCAAATGGTTCTACTAAAATATCATGTCTCCAGGTTTCATAGCATCCACTCATATCATTCTAGCCAATTATTCCACTCCACCTCCTTGTTGGGAATCCAAGGCCCAGGAAAATACAGAAACAAGGAATTGTCATAATGAGTAGGTTGTACAAAAAACTAGGGCCTGAGGTTAGATATCTGTAGTCTGAAGATCACATCTAAAGCAGAAATATCAAGAGAAATGGGTTTCAGGAGATTTGGAAACAAAACTAAAGTCATTTTTCTATACCATAACATCCTTGGAACTTTCCTAGTCTTGGTAGGAAGGATATAGTCTTGCTGTTGTTCTCTAGTTTCTAGAAAATCAATAGAGATTCTCTCTGAGAATCACTTGTAGAAATACTGAAGTATTGTTAACATCTTTTCCATGGGCTTTTGTCCCTTTGAAGACCCTGCTGGAAGCAAAACAAGATGACTTTCGTAAGCAGAACTTGGAGGCATCATCAGATCGTTGCTCAGCTTTACTTCAAGATATTTTTGGTCCTCTAGAAGAATATGTGAAGCAGGGACTTTACTCAAAGCCTGGAGGGCACCGCCTCTTCATTCAGAAGAGAGAAGAGCTGAAGGCAAAGTACTATCAGGAGCCCAGGAAAGGAATACAGGTATTCCTTGTTTCATGCATTAATTGTGGGAAATTGTTCGGGATTTGGATTGGGGAAGGACTTCTTTCAAAATCCAGTGAAGACAGGAAGAAAGTATTTATACTCTAATGATAGCTGTAGAATTAAACTGAACTATCACCATAATCACCAGACTTTTACTGCAACCATCAACATTCATTGCAACAAAGAGACTTTTTTGGTTACATAGGACAGAATTGCAGTAATTGAAACGAACAGGAAAAAAGAGTAATTCATTGGCTTACATAACACATTTAAATATAGTTGCAACTACAGCTACATTCAGGAATTTCAACAATGTCATCAATTTCCCCCTTCCTTTTTTTCTTTCCAACTCCCACTTAGTTTTCTGTTCTGTTTTCCTACTGGCTTCATCCTCAGGCATGGCAGCAAAAAGGACACCAACATCTCTAAGCTTAACTAGATCTTTTGCCCTTAGTCTCAGAGGAGAGAAAGCATTTCCCCAGCATCTGTATCCGTCTCTAAAAATTCCATGTTGAGCATTTTCTCACCTGAACTTGGGTGAACTTGGGTGCTCTGATGAGCCAGCCCAGAGTTTGTGCCCACTCCTGTGAAGAAGAGGCTTGATTGACAGTTCCACGGAGTGCATGCTGAGCAATTCTGGGGAGGAAAAGATGCAGGGAAGAAAAATAAATTAAAAGGTTTACAACATGCCAATTACTGTTTCCTACTTTTAACTGCATGGCTTTGGGGTCCTAGGCTGAAGAAGCTCTGCAGAACTATTTACAGTCCAAGGAGTCTGTGAGTGATGCCATTCTACAGACAGACCTGGCTCTCACCGCGAAGGAAAAGGAGAGGAAAGGTGAGAGGAAAATGGAAGAAATGCAAGATAGAACTTTCTGTACATTTTCAATTTGGCCTGGCTTACCTGGGATCTTTAAACTAGAGCAAGAACGGCAAAGATGACTTTTTGCTCTTCAAGCTTTATCTGGGTGGGTGTGTACTGTCATCTGAAAAAGCAAAATGGCCCCAGGGAATTTTCTCTATGAAGCAGTAATAAGTAATAAGAGCAGGAGACAGAAGGAAGGGACACTTTAATCCTAGAGGAGTTTGTCATTTTCTTCTTTCTCAGAAGCATATTTGAAAGCAGAGGCTGCAAAGGCTGAAGCACGTAGGTTGGAGGAGATTCAAAGGCAGAACCAGAAAATGATGGAGGAGAGGGAGAGGCAGCATCAGGAGCAACTGAGACAAATGGAGATAAACAGAGCCCAACACGCTGGCACAGGAACAGATGGCTCGGGAACGTCAGCTCCAGGTACTCACCC